GATTCCATCACTACTATCTTCAGTTAACATATGAGAATTTTGGTACACATATCCTGTGTTTTTATTACTACATTTGTCCGTGCTATTATACTGTTCTAATGCATTCTGAATGGAGTCGTCCTGGAGTTTGAATTGAAAGTGACCGGTCGAGTGTGAGAGTGAGTGATTTTTTGGTGATAGTGAATGAGAGTGGCAGTGGTATGGCGAGAAATTACAGAGGTCGACACTCATGAGCTCTAGTAACATATTTACCATGTGACCTTAAAGTACACAACTGCATTCTGAATAGGTCGGTGAGTGAAAATCAGTCAAGATGCTATAGTCATTTGTAATAGTAGTACTTTGCAATCACCTGAAATCACAGTAAATCAACCAAAAACACAGAGAGGGATGAATCTGGGAATTTGTATTTGGCGGAATTATTTGTAATTCACATGATAAATATTAACAAACAATAGTTAGTTTTTAAACAGTGCAGTGATAGAAATGGTCAATGACCACAGGGGAGTCCCACTTGTAGGGTGACGCTTCCTGACGGAATCTCCACATACCTAACATCTGAGTGAATTATCATAGTGTGCACTTCGACTATTCAAAACACACTTCACTTTTCGTTTTGTGATCGACTGATATTAGGTCGTGTGACATAGAAACTAATGATACAATTGTGATGAGTATTGATAAGCATTTCTCGGTCAGAAACACTGACACATAAATACACCCACACGTTAGCTTACTTGTGATCCACGTAACTCTGAATCATCTAAGTCATTCAGACCATATTGGTTCCACATATTTTCAATGACTTTAATTAGACTTGATGTTTATTTTTGTTTGTTACTCAGAAAATGAACTTGATCTAATGTAGCTTCAAAGTAAAACAGAATAATCAATGACTCATAAATACAAAGTAGAACAAGCATGTAAATACCTTGTGAACAGTGAAGATGAAGATGCATTTCATAGAAGACAAGTAGACTAATTAGGTGAAACATACTGTTTGTGTGGTTTGGAATATTTCAGTCTATTTAAAGCAACATTGTAAAATGACTACAAGTAAAAGGGAGTATCAGTTTATATAGATATACATTACTGTTATTATTAGAACATATGAAATAATCTACAATATGTGGTATTCCAATTCGTTTAGAGCATTGGCTTAAAGTACTATCACATCTATTCAACACTATCTACTTTGTCAATGACTAAAATGAGCATTCAGTTAAGATGAGATTGTTTGTGAAGTCTTTATTCAGTACAGAGAGAATGAAGTCTGTTCACTTCATGCATACAGTCTTAAAGTACAAAAATGAATGTAGTTAGTTATCTTGAATAAAATTCCGTAATGGATTATTACTGTCTCTTATTTCTCCGGTTAAATTATTCATCATTTTCACGGTGACTTCTAGAAGAGATTGGATACCTGTCCATGATGAACGCGAGCATGTCTCTGCCGAATATGTTATGAAGCAGTTTTAAGCTAATTCATTTGAACTTCACGAGTGATATATCATTATGGCTGTGCATTGAGCGTCACAATGGGAGATCACCGAAATTGTGGAACCATAAAGCTTTTACTGCAACTTATTGTCAGTGAGGCTTGAACGCATCCACGATCAACACTTACCAATTGGCCCAATGACGTCATCGGTCCAGTTTACAAGTGACTTATAAATTATTCTACACGACTATTTATTTCATCATTTCACGAATTGGGTATCCGTGATTTTCGTGACTGCTCTAAGAAATTGCTTTTCGAAATCACAAAGATTGGTTGCTTTCTATCTGAAGGTGAATTTCCTAAGTGAACTGTTGATTGCAGAGGAAGAATACTGGAAGCACCTGCACGTGTTCTTTTACTGTCTGTCGCAAAGCACATCATACAGGTAGGTCATAAAGTTGATGTTATTAAGTCGATATTACCTATATTTGTGTAACATCATTGGATTGCATGCTTAGATTTCTTGAAGTCTATATAAAACAGTCTGAATCGATATTTTGCACAAAAATTACTTCTTGTCTTTTCAGTGCTTTCTAAATTTCACGTTATATCATATGTTCTTTTCTTCAGTGTGCATTCTGGATGCACGTCGTTCATTAAATTACCTACCTTATTGCGTACCTTCAACAAGCTTATTCAACTGCTTTATGTTAACATTAATGAATATGACAACTCATCACTCCTGATACTATCCCTTTCGTGGAAATATTTGTATATACATATATATTGTACAGATAAGGAAATCAGTTCGCCAAAAGTAGCTTCTTCGCCGAAGGACTTGTTTCGCTTATTTCAATAATGCATTGTCGGTAACGGACTGTTCATGAAATTCAGAAGTTTCAATAAAGTGATTGGTATGTAACATAAATAGTGATTACTCAGATATTAAAAATATCAGAAGTGTGATTGTACAATTTTTGATAACAGAATCACCAGATGATACTTTCTGCTAAACTAACGTCAATATTAGTACTACTACTACTACTGATGAAGATTCAAGCACAAATTATTGTTCATAAGCACATCAATGTACTCAAGATATCTAGGTACATTGAGTCGTTTTCGATGCTATGGTCATGCATAATAATCTCTATAAATTCAACTCTAATAATTCGATTTGAATACGCGACGCAAGAAATGAGGAACGCAGGCTGTTGAATAGAGAGATTTCACTGTCTCGTATCGACTAGCAGTAATGATATGGCCGCATAATATGTAGATACCGTTGTGTTAAGAGAAGATACAAATTTGTCAACGGATTGCAGATCGATTTAGTACCACTTAGCAGCAGGCATTATTCAAAATACGTGAAATCAATTGAGAATTTCAATATAGATGTTCATCTTAACACGGAAATAAGCTCATCTAACAAAAATGCTAGGAGTCGCGTATATAACAAATACGCCACTTATTTCATTCAGTAATCAACAGTAAACGTGTGTATTTGGCTTGTTATTTCAGTGTGGTTAATATTCTTTCAGATATCTAAGTTTATTATAAGTAAGTTACTGACATTCTCTCACTACATATACTAATTAACCTCTGCTGCTTGTTTTTGTTTACCATCCTCTCCTGCACATGTCATCTAGAATTCTCTTTCCAGTGGAATGTTGGTTTCAACAGCCAAAAATATGAGGTGACTTTTGCTTGGATCTCTTCCGCTTCAAATTTTCTAATTAGTCATTGAAATCATCTTGTTCTGTGTCAACATGATTTCAAAGCACTTTGCGATCTCACATTTCTTCACTTGTACAACGATGATATAATAAGTTGTAGCGTTTAAGCGTGCACGGATTTCTCCTCACTTTGGTGTGTAGTGTTTACCTATGCAACAGTGACAGAAATTATGGTGTGTAGTATTGTTTAGAATGAGCTGATTAGTGTTGAGTGTGGCTGTACTGACAGTGGTGCAATTGAAGTAGACGAAGTTGTATATTGTCTCTGTTTTCTCACCTGATCTGTAGAGCTGACAATTTCAGATTGATGTACTGTATTCACTGCTTTAGTCTGTTAGGCATTGGCTTCTCACTGTGATCGACATTATGCTACGTTTAACTGGTTATTTATACTGAAATTAAAAACTGTGAGATACTTTCGTTCATCCATTTCGCAGCTTTTAAAACATTCATCAGACCAGTAGCTCAGATACTGATGAAACCGGTAGCAGTGGTATGAATATGACAATTACCAGTGAAGATTGAATTGTTTCCACTACATGTGATGGCATAGATGAGCGTGTAAAAATGGGATCGCAAAGAAATCTAGCAAAGAACCAAACAAGTACCTATTTTCCAACAAAAGTGCACAAGAAAATGGAGATGGATTCAACATACGCCTGCGAGACTGTTCAGTGACATCCTAGTGTAGGCGTTCGAGTGAGAAGGTGAATAGGAAATGACGAGTTGGAGGTGTGAGTGTGATGTGGAAGAAATCCTGTGAGGGCGAGATGAAAGCAGTTGTGGAGTCAGCTGAGAAAGCTTGCAGGAATCCTTATGAGATGGTGATATACTACTTAAGCGCTACATCCAACTCGGAACCCAAGTGAATGATGCTAATCAATGATTGCTGGGCCACAAAATCCAATGTTCATTTGAGACGAGGATTTCTGCAGGGAGTTGGATCAATTTCCATGTATATTTTGTCGTGAACCTACATCAGTCATGGACTTACTAGAGACCAGAAAACACTCAACAGATGTTTTGTCGTAGTTGGGAGGTCTTCAGATATGAATACTTCTGACTGATTGGCATTGGTTTTTGAAGAGGCTTGCACTGAGATGGATTTACATTTATTTGTCGAAACTACTTGAGTGTGCAGAGTCGTCGACTTGACCGGAGGATGAAGTGGAGAATTGGCAGTAAACCAATTAAGCTTCAATATCTGATGACGATGATTTATTCTCGCTCGACGAAATTCGCTTGTTATTTACGAAAAATGGCTACAGATAGTCACCGAAGATGGTAAACTACTCACCACATTTTCAAACCGTCTGTTTCTAACGTCACTCCAGGAGATTCACATACTCTAATTAACTCATGCAGCTTTCACTGATGAGATACTTTTAAAGAACGCAGGATTTCTATCTGTGTGCCAGACATTTTCATCAACACCTGCCCACTTCGACAATTAAGGGTAGGCGGTCTATCAGGAATTATCATGCAACAAGGAAACCCACCAGAAGCAGCTCACCAACCAACAACATACTGGCTAATAAAATAAGCAGAAGGAAATACAGATAGATTAGATGTACACTGAGGATTGATTCAAGTAACATCACACACCAGTCACCGTCGCCTTGAAGCCAAATGGCGAGAGATGCATGGTTTACGAGAGTGATATCGAGGAGATCGCATGACTTAGAAATTAGAGCATGTGACTGAGCAGTAGTGGAGTCAGTTGAGATGGATGGGATGGAGATGGACCGCTGATGTCCCACCTCCCACACGGATATCAAGAAATGAATGGCGAAATTAACAATGATTTATAGTTTCTCGCTTTAATTATTTTGAATTCACACTTTAATATTTCAAACGTTAATTGTCACACAATGAATTAAAAGAGCATCATTTCAGAAGAAATGAAAAGTTAAAGTGAAATTAATATGAGCAATAATAGTAATGATAATAAAAGTGAATGTGTTTATTATCAAGGTGAGAACTAATCCCCAGCACTGTTTCCTCCGAAAAGTCATTGGGTGATAAGAAGAAATAATAATTTCCAAGTGATGCAGTTATTCTGTAAAAATAAGCAGACACACATATTCATTTTAGAAATATAGATGGAACAAATGCAAATAGTAATGGCAACATAGATTTAAAAATTGACATTTGAAAGTCGCTATCTTCAAATTCTTTAACAACGCGGTTCACCTGATTAATTAACGAACTCTGCTTTTCCAAAGAGATAACGGATGAAGCCACATATGCTCGGGAGATTACCTTTCATCGATTCAATATGCAACACGTTTCACTCTGACTGACTGACTGACTGAGTGAAGTTGAACAGATGCACGAATTAATGGAATGAATTATTTTATATCACTAAATCTAACAGTTTGTGGTTTCATGAAATTCAAATATCAGAGTGGACACTGTTTTAACTGTGATGATGTTTATGTATTCAAGTAGAATAAAAGATCTCAGACAAATTCATAACTATTCGGAATGAGGATAAGTGAAGTGAAATGTTGTTGTGTTCATTGGAAAGGATTTCAAGTGAACATAGAGAAGATGGAGGCGATGAGGATTACCAACCACCCCCACATCGACGACCAAACCATCAACACCAGTCACTGTCACGTGAATGAATTTAGAAGAGGTCAATTTATTCTTTCACTCGTCTAGAAAACGCCGTTTGAACCAGAGGCAGTCGGCACAGATGACGATGTCAACACCAGCCAGAACCCGAAAGACAACAGTCTCTTAATTCATACTATTGACTGATTCAGATACTAACCTTAGGTTTAAGTAAAACCCTTCATATATATTAAAGTATTCACGTAATACGGTTTCTCTCCACTCTATATAATTTGTCATTATACAATAATCGGTCAGCAATAAATAATACACCTGTGTTTACATCATCCCATGCTTATTTAATTTATCCTCATTACAGTTATTTGCTCTCCATCGAACTTATGCCTGCCTCACTGGATTTTATTTGTTCGTTTATTTTTCTGCAGCTCACACACTCCCTCTCACACCATCCGCGGAAACTGATAATTTGTTGGTCAAGTTTATACAAATGCATCACTGAGTTATTTCAGGTAATTTCTTAGTGACTGCACATATTTTATAGGCCTTGGAAATAGTAATCCAAACTGAATGACTATTATTTCATTTTCTACGCATAGCACAATACACTCTCTGACTTAATTCCAATTCAGCTTGACTGGCTTGTATATGCTAAAATCAGTGGATTTATATATGAATAGCGTGAAGAAAGAACTTATTGAAAGCACCAGTGTTGGCTGTAATTATTCTTGCTTGAAGTGAGAAACAGGATGATATGACACTTCTCAATCAATCGCCTCAGTTTAATTCACTTCATGCGACTTACCTGCTGGTATCAATTTCTCCAGTTCACTTGATATCTGCATAAATAATTTCTTTTCAACTGAAAACATGCGTGAAAAATTATTATCTTGAACAACTGACTGTTTAGTATCAGTAACTTTGAAACTGATGATGAATCAGACATAAGATAGTGAGAGGAACATATTAAAACAGTTGTGGACAGAGAGGAGAACTGCTGGCCATGACACATGATGGCAGGAGATTTTCGATTACACAGTACATTACACAGTAGATAAATTTTAATGAAGGCCTACTAGCACAATGAAATCGCCCACACACCTGACTTCTCCAACATTCTGTAATTTAACTTTACTTCACTCAATGGGTTCCCCTTTAGCTGGTCTCACGATTACACGTAACATCTCATCTCCTCTATGTCACACTTGAAAAACCGACGTCTCAGTTTTCCATTCGAAATTACTCTTGGGCGATGGCCTGGTTTGTGATATCGTCAATGTTCTCCTCAGGCTAACATCATTCCTGTCTTCACCTAGAAGGCCTAACATACTCCTTATATTTCAGATAATAGTATTTACGAACTATATATTAATATAGTTTTTTCAAGATTTGTAGTATAAAATATGGTATCTGAATGTCACGGTAAATCCTATACGAAAATAATTTTATGTGTATTCATTCGCTACATTAGCCCTGTACTGAGTGTTAGATGGTTGGCCAGAAATTATGAGTAACAAAGTGCTCTGGGATGAAGCCAACTGAGTAATTATCACCTTACTAATATGCAGTAGGAAATAGAGTGGAATCTGCCAAAAAGGAAAGACAGAGAACAGAGTAGAATTGAGATGTGCTACTGAAGTCCTATGTTCCACTTGAAATTCAAGGAAATAATAATTTCACAGACTGTAGGATCCTCATCACATGTCATTCCTCTACTCAGCTGAAAAACGAATTCTCTTCTGATGCCACCTACGTTGAAATGTGTGATTTTTCTCAATGAAATCATCATAATACCATGAGAAGCAGAAATCCAACTGGTAGAGCTTCATTCCCTTGTGTAGAAAGTCATCAAAGGTCATGAAGTCACCACCTTGCGATAGAATAGTTGTCAGTTTGAAAAGCAGAATATGTAAAATTCGTTGAGAACACTGTTCTAATATTTCTTAATCACATTGAGATGACTGGAGCATAATCAATAGAACTGTCTTGAAATTATTTAAACTCTGAGCATGAATATATCACTCTGAAAACCACTTTGGTTACAAATTTATGGGCCTATCTCTGTTTATTGGTAACCAGCCAGCCATGAATCCTCCGTCCGAGCTAATAAATATACAGGAGTGAATGGAGATGTGCTGAACAAACTCTGAAGAGATATTCAAACGACACAATATGCCAGACATGCCATACACCGCAACCCGAATGGGAAGCGATGGGTTGGCTTCACAAGTGTAATATGGTGAGAGGAAGTTCAAACTATGCGAGTAGTAGTGAAACCAGGTGAATATGACATCAGATTTCGAAGTGTAATAAATGTGTACCACTGAAGCCATGTGTTCCACCTGGTAGGCAAGAAATGAATAACGATAATAGTAGCATTGTTTACTGCAAAATGCAGTGATCTTCTGAAATTCCCCTCTCAGCCATGTTTCCATACGAAGCGCCGTTCTGTTAAGCCTATATCAACCGTTTGCTGTGTGAATTGCTATAGATGAATTCTGTCTGGTCTGTTTCATTCATCGGTGAAGTTTTAAACACAGACTTATTCAATCTGATTCTTTCACTGGCCAATAACTTGTATTGATTGAGACAAGTTCACATTAACTGCCCTGCTCTCAACTTTGTCGCTAAATTTTTCCCTATTGATTTCAACTCTTCTGAAGAATTTTCGGCCTTGATGTGAAATATGATACCGTGACCAGCAAATCTGCTTCGAATTGGTTCAGAAGTAAACAGTCACTGTTAACATTCATGGCAGTGTTGCATGATTATTTTCTGAATCTAATGGCTGGTGATTACGATTAGGTTTACCTAAAATGTCGTCCGAAGAAAGAAATTACCAGAAGTTTATATTCAAAACTAAAACTGACGTCTCTCTCTTTAGATTCTTCATGTATTTCGAAGTTGTTAACTCTTCTCAGTAGATATATGAGCCAGCGTAGCCTAGAATGCTGACTGGATGAGCAAGGTGTATGTATTAGAAAGCACCATGACCTTGCAAGCCGTTATGTCAAATTTGTTGTTGTTTGTATATTGGATGCAGAAACTTGCAGTGTTTAGTTTCTGCCGACGTGAAAGTTATAGCGGATTTGTAAACTGAAGAGGTGGGTGTGTAGTTACGCACGAAGCACACTGTTGGCCAGTTCCCTCAAGTTTGAATCGTCACAAACCAGTCATTCTGTCAGACAATTATCCACACCTTTTGACTATTTAGACACGACTCATTTCTACTACTTTGTTCTTATGTAGAAAGCACCTGTTTGCTTGAGATAAGTTCCTCGTGGAGTGTGAAAAGTTGATCACTGTGATCAGCTAGACTAAAAGACTCGATTTTTAAGATCAGGGTTGAACTTGGCATATCAGATTGATTACTTTGCGCATTTTCGATACATGGAACAGTTGAGGTGAAATTTAAGGCTCACCTTGACTATTTTGGGAAGTACATATAATTGCTCTAAGTGGAATGTTCTGGTGGGGAGTTCGAAGTAAGTTACTGGAGAAGGTTTAAGAAATCCACGAAAACATTCTCACTGTCCTCAGAGCCCAAAGTATCATGAGGCTTTTCAAAAGGTGTTTTCCCCTCAATGGAAACAGACGTTGCACAGTTGGACGAAAATAGGCAAAGAATAGTTAAAAAGGGAAGATTTTGGGAATATGGTGAATGTTAATTAAATAATGGTCACGGTAACCTTGCCTATTTTACTAACTCGTCAGTTTTCTAGCAGGTCTCAAGCCCGAGTAAAGAGGGAGGGGTGGGTATGGGGCTAGCGACCCTACTCCACAAAACCATTCAAAATTCTACAGAAACTTCAGATTACAAAAAATATACATTTAAAATACAAAATCTATGAAAAAACAAACTTGTTATTCGCTGGAATTGGAGAGGCGACATGACGTAGGCGCCTGAAAGCTCTCAAGAAGCCAGTCAGCCGATGTGCCTTCTCTCGACGAAAGCAAGAATAAGAATGGGGACGTGGAATGTAGGTGCAACGTATGAGGCGGGGAAGGCTGCCCAGGTATCCGAAGAAATTAGAAGATACATTACATAAGTACTGGGAATCTGCAAGAGCAAATGTAATGCATACGGACTGTCAAAATTGTAGATTGGGGAGTCAGTAATCTACTCTGATCACCCAGACGACAATCATGAGCACACCGAGGCAGTGGCTGTGATGACGTCACCAATGGCAACCAAACCTTTAATGTAGTGAGAACCAATTTCATTCAGGATCATGGCAACAAGATTCAACTCAAAAGGAAGGCATAAAAGTCACAATTATCCAATGCTACGCAGTGCTACAAACAACGCAGAACAATAGAAGGAAGACTTCCACAGACAACTACAAACAATAATGAACAACATTCGAAATGGAGGCATTAAAATCCTTTTAGGTGATGAAAAAATACCAAACTGGGAGCAGATGATACAGGAGGAGAACTCATCATGGGTCGAGAGGGTCTCGTTCGGGTGAATGGATGAGC